CCTTTTGAGAGGCCCAGCTCATTTTCCTTTGTCGTCCTTTTGGTTGAACAGGTTGCCTGTTCAGTGGTAAATTAACGGCGTCTTCAGTAAAACAACTGTCTGTCTCACGTTTCTAGTACAAATAGCCCGACTTTGCAAGGCAAGGATCGATTCTTTACAGAACTGCGGAGCCTGAGGTACAGATTTTCGGTTGGCTGGTTTCATACACAACAAATATTGAGGATAACGGAATAGGGGCCAGTTTTAGGTTGAGCTATGATGATGCCGACTGAGATGGTCGCCCTAAACTATTCGAGCTGTTTAAATCTGTTAAATAGTTCCCATTTCAGTAACGCCATCGTCCATGATAACTCGGTTCTCTTGCAAGATATTTTGGATCAGTAAAGCCCAATGGAAACTCAAAACAACGCTGATACTGAGAGATTTTAACCCTTTTAAAATAAAGGTACCTCATGACCGTATTCTAATGATCCTTTGTAGGGCTATGGTAGTCGCTTTATTTTTCTCTTCTAGCTATTTCATCTCTCCGACCACTACTTCGTTATCTCTGGATTGAAACTGATTTTTATCTTTTAAATTTCGTGCAATTCAGCCGTTCAATAAACTAAGCGAGCAAGCATTATGAAAATACCGATAATTTTCTATTATCTTAATGTTTATCTGAGGCCATATACAATACTACGGTAAAAATGGGGAAATCTATTCATCTTTAGAGAATCCGATTTTATGCCTATCGTATACAAGTCGGTAAACTTCGTATTTTTTTTCCAAATTAGGATACTTCACTAATTTTCAGTTGTTATGGTCAAATGCAATTAATTTTTGCTTCACATTTGCATACATTGAAGTCTAAGGGGAATTTTGACAACACCTTGACGTAAAATCTATGAAGTCTACGAAGTGTTGTCAAGACAAGTCTACACGCAAAGAAAATAGTTAGAGCTAGAGATAGTCTAGAATCCATATGTATAATTTATATGTATATACGAACACGTGTCTTCTTTTAAGAGCATAGAACTAAATTCAGGTTTCTTACAGGTAATTACACATTAACAATGTTCATCTTCTGTAACAAACATTGTCGCCCATAACGCTGTTAAGCACTGCAGCGAAAGCCCAGTGGTTGCAGACATAAAAATAATCCTTTTATTTGCTCGAAGGCTTAACAACTTCAACTTGCCATCCCTTCGTATCTTACAGATCAAGATCACTCACCGCCAGTTTATTGAAGTCTAACTATTTTGTAAACTTCAGCTCTGTAAGAGTCGGCTATACAGTTGGAACACGGTTTACAACGGGTGATAATTTTGAATCGTCAGACCATGCTCCGTAACAACTTGTAGATAACAGAACGATTTATCCTATAATACATTTGGAATTGGTTGTTAGAGCTTGTTGCCCTAACGAAGGTTCGAATCTTATGTTCAACTATCATAAGGTTAAAAGCTTCTGACCAAACCCTATTATAATTTTGCTTTTATTTATATTTAATTCATCAGAAAGTTCTATGTGCTTTTATAAAATCCAATACCTTATTTCCGTTTACTGTATCTATTCTATAAGAGTTCTATAGGTTATTGTGTGAAGCTATCCTAAACTCTATATACTATTTTTACTTGCCCAAATCTTGTACTGAACGTACATTAATAAAACTTGCACGTTTAATTTTGACTAAACTTTCTTAACTTAATATGATTTTCAGTAATTTCAAGTAACTCAATTCGAGGCAACTCATCTATTGCGAGCACTGCAACATACAAAATAATTGCGTTTTTATTAAAATTAAACAATAAAAGCATGTATACGTTGATAATAATTGTTTCATTTCAAGTCATTTTGTAGGTTCACAGTGTTCGCATCGTGATTAATCAAAATGCCGTTAATAATTTATTAAAAAGAATTTTAAAGAAGTTTTAAAAAAGAAGCCAATCAAGGCGCCGGAAGAATTCTAAGAGAGATTCCAATCATTGTTTTATCTGGGTGTCTATCCTAACGTTTTTCGCATATTAGGATAGAAAGTATTGTATTTTAGCTTCCATGTGATGCGAACTTGCCCTTATATTTGGTTAAGCTATTAAAGAAAACTTACTAACAGATCGTGCAATTAATTTTAGTCGAAACAAGATTGCTACGGTTTCTCTCTAAAACTGAATTTTGTGTAACGCTTTTTCGCTACAAACTGTGACTACCTATTATATAATAGAAAACAACCGACTTTACATGATTACAAGTGAGGTCGTCTTCGAGCTTTCTGACCAGCTTAAGCTTTCACTATTCCTTAACCGGAAAAATTATTGCCAAAACACCAACATCTCACTGTGTGATATACTTAGTGGTTCCATTGGCTTGCCAGTATTGCTTGGTTCGCTCATCGCCTACGAATCTCGTGCCTGGTCAACCTCTATGACGCAGCTGCGTTTGTGTCTGAGGTTCTGGTTCATGACATTATGCGTCCTGCGAATCTTTCCATGTCCCGGACAAAAAGCGTAACTAAAAAGGAACAGCAAGCCAGACCCAGGCCACAATTCCGGCTTGCTTTATCAGGCTCACCCCTTGGCTGGAGTTTGCTTTGGTTCATCGTAGTCGCGCTGTTCCTAGCTATTCCACCTGGAGCAATAGCGACAGCAATGCGATCGACTGCTGCACTGCCACAAGCGCATACCGACAGAGACGAACCGAGAGACAAGCAAGAGGTAGATTGTTATTTGTTACTTACGGTAGGAATGGGGCCCACCGAACCCGCAACAACGGTGACGTTCCGCTTTCCTTTTTCTCTATAGGTATTAGTGCTTTGCGCCACTGCGCCGCGGAGGCGCAGTGGACTGGGGCTCCGCCATCTCCCGTGCGGTCTACACGCTCTGTTCGTCATGAAAAATCATAATCGAGTCTCGTTTGGCTCAAACGAAGAGGCCTTTTCTTTCCCGTTCTCCTCTTTTCACTTCCTTTGCTTTTCACTGTCCCCCCCTTTCTTATTTTCGCTCCTTTTGCTCTCCCTTGACCATGGCGCTTCTAGGCACTTTAGACTCTAAGCGTATGGTTCTTTTCTGTTCCAGGGTTCTTCTCTGTGTGCTTTTCCACCTCCGGTCGTACCATTGTGTCCATCGTCAATACATATCTCTACCTCTTCTTTCGCTGTCGACGCCTGGCCGGTTACCATCCGTCCGTCGACTTGTCCGTTCGTCCGACCCAGCCGAGCTGGCGCGCCAGTCGCCAAAAAGTATGATTTAGCCCAACAGGCGTACATCAACAGTCCTACTCAATTTTCCCTCTGCTCGAGTTCAAGTGTGAGTGAATGTAGTAGTGATACAACACTTCTTCTCATCGGGTTCAGCCGCCGTTGTTTAGAGCTCTAAACTCGTTCTTGCTTAACCTTTCGGTAGTGATGGCCAGGCCACGGAGTTAGCATCGGTATCAGCGCCAGCAACAGTGCAGTATCAGCGCTGAACGTTGCCTAGCATATGTTAGCCAATAGTGTAGTTGGTGCGAAACTTTAGGGCCCAGAGGCGGTGGCGAATGCTAGACAAGCGCCATCATCAGCAATTGTCGTAATGTTGCTTGAGACATCTACAGCTCACATTCCTGCCTTCAACAGGACTAGGGCTGAACAGCATGGGCGGTTGAGCCGCCGCCGCCGCCGCCGCCGCCAAATGAAGGCCTTTCCGGCCAACTCGAAGCTAGGCAACGCAGCTGCAGTACAGTTAAGCTTTAAGCTCTGCATTGTTGAGTCAGCAGCAAAATAACCCGAACACTCACAGGCTAATAGAAAGTGCCAAGCAACTTCGAGAGGGTAAACATGGTGTAATGGTAGGTGAAAACGGGTATAGCAATAACGGGGCTCCTTCTGCCCCAACAACTTCTAGAACGGGCGGATTACGCAGGGCTATCACTTTGTAAATCGTCCAAAAGAAAAAGCGGGACCGGAAAAAACTAAACCTCAACACGAACGATTGTAAAAAGACGTGATCCGATCAGGAAAGCCACTCGATTCACGATACGTTTCTCTAGACAGAGTTGTGATCTCGTGAGGGTTAAGCAGAGCGCTTCACCCGGCCCAGTTTTGCATATAATGGTCATTAGTCTGTGTCATGTATGAGAACTGAAACAGCAACGGTATGTATACTGGCCCTGAGACGTCGCATGTAGAAGGCTGTTGTTTATCTGGGTTTAGGTAAACTTGCCAACGAATCACACTGTTCTATTGATAGTCTTTTGTAATTCTCGTCTACTTTTATTGAAATGCTTGGCGTTTTTGTTCGCACAAATAAACGGTATAAGTAAAGTCATAAGTAAAGGCGAACGCGTGGACACAATTTATAAGCCGTCTTTCACATCTTCAGCAGTCTTCCAAACAAGTATATATATATATATATATTAATCTGTTGGGCTCTTGTTTAATTCACTGTGCAAACGGTTGAATAGAAGAACCAAATAGAAAATCTCTGCAGCGGAACAATTCATAGCACCTACATTCATTTTACCCTACATAACACACGCTAACAGGACTGACCGGCACAAAACATTAAATTGAGAGAGATGTCCTCTTTTCTTTATCTAAGCTATTTTTTTGCCAACCTGATTTATTAATTGTACGAAAGCATAAGCTGTCAGGGGTATCGAATCGTGGTTTTGATCAGAGCGCAGTGCAAGACTCACAGACACTTGACTAGCATTATTCATCCATAACCCGGCAGCAGCTCTATTATTTAGAACTAGTATAAACAAACAAACAAACAAACAAGCAAACGAAAACAACATTCCTTGACCCTTCCATAGCATCAATCGCATCGAAAACACAGCCCAAAGAGCTTAAAAACAGCACCCACGAGAAGGACAACAAGAACTAAGACAGCCAACAACCGCAGCAACAATAATACAAAAAAGAAAAAAAAGAAAGTCAACTCTATCAAAAGTGAACGAACCGTTTTTTCTGGTTACTACACACAGCTCGCATTTAGTATGCGAGCCACAGGCGCGTAACATTTGGCACCATAAATACTTACGAATCCGTAACCGCGCGATTTGCCCGTTTGCCTATCCGTAATGACGACCGCCTCTTCGATCTCGCCAAACACCTCGAAGAACTGGCGGAGCGACTTATCCGTCGTGTGGTACGGCAAGCCACCGACGAAGATCTTCGTGAACGTGGTATCTTTCTGCATCATCTCTGGTTGTAGCGCTGCCACTGTGAGTACAACTTTGTCGCTGTTGGCTGGAAACCTAAAGACCTTACAAGAGGGGGATTTTTGGCTAGGGGCTATTTCTTGCCGTTGATTTTCGTCGCTGGCTCTTGTGGTTTTTTTGCTGGTTTTCAGTCGCAGATCATAGGGTACGGCCTAAACACGTCATTGTGCAATGCTCGTTAATTACATTTTACATCATAACCCAGACATGAAGCAGTTTTTACGGACAGATTCAAGCAAACAACGACAGTAATAAGGGCCTCTTAGTATTTCGAAGTGCTTACAAAGGCCTCGATTCCGCGCTCTCAACGATAATACCAAACAAAGTCCTCGGTGGTGTCTCCCTTCGCGCGTCGACTCGATGAGAATGAGTAATTTCACACTCGAAGTACACTTCTTCGGTCCCTCACTACTGGACTTCACACGACACGAATAGCGAGATAGCACTCGAAGAACGCGGCTGGTAATGAAGTAGCTAAGCGTGTAGTTAGTTACATACACACAGACAGACAGATAGAGAGGCACCGAAGCCCCCAGAAGAAGCAAAACTGCACAATCTTCGAGAATCAAGCACTTCGCTTTCACCGTAATTGTGAGCACGACACGATATCTTGTAGCTGGTCGACTACGATCCCTTCTACTTATATTTACGTTTAACGGAGATAACAACTATCAGATGACACTTGTCCACATCTCCAGCTACGTCCGGATAGTCACTGTCCATTTATTTGGGCTCACTCGTAATCTCACTACTTTTCCAACAATTACACTAGCGCTAAACTTGCGGCAACTTGGAGTTGAAGCTCTTCAGCAACGCGCGACGACATTAGATCGGGCCGAACTGCTTCCAAACCGCGATCATTGCCGAAATTTCTCCACTGTCTTACAGCTTTAAAGAACAAAGGAGTCTCGGTTGAACCAATAGACCAGTGAGCCGAGTAGCCGTATAGGATATCTTTGTGGGTTGATACGTGGTGGTGACGCACACACGCAAGCGAATGCTATTAGTCACTGCCTTGTTTCGTAGGCTCGCTTGTGCACTCTGAGCCGCGGCCTGGCCTGCCGTTCGAACTCAATTCAGGCAGCGTCGACAATCATGGGAGGGGAAAGAGACCTGGCGAGGGAGGCTGTGGCTGCGCGTCAAGCTACCAACGACTGCATAGTGTAGCAGTAGCGGCAGGCCATGGATGAGCTAAAAGGACAGGCTAGTAAAGACCGAATTTGCCCTGAAGCAGCAACAGCAACAGACCGTTAACGGCTTCTGTAGCTAGGCAGGCTAACGGCAGCTGCGGATTCAGGTCAAAATAGCTAAAGAAGGACCTGTGGACTCCGGGAGACCGGAGCACACTCGCAGCCATCACTGAAACTGTTCCACACGACCACGACTGAATGGTGTCTGGAGTAGCCGACTGACAGCGTATAGGTGTATAACGGTGTTTTGTAAACCCGGGTCAGTTGCAGTTCAGTTTGTTTTCCATGCTGTTCCAGCGGGAAAATGTTTTTTTCACGTCTTTTTTTCCAGTTTTTTTTTAAGCTTAATGGCTGCTAAGTACTTCAGTGAAATGTCACAAAAATAGAAGAATGTGAAACGCATAGTTTGCAGTGCTATGGTTCTGTAAAAAAAAAAACTCTCCAACGACAAGCGCCTACTAACTGTACGGGAAAATTACTATCATCAAGATTATCAAGCAAACGATGTGTCGGACGGATAAACCTAGCTATTAAACATGAGGCTACTTAAACACAAAACGCTATTCAAGTTTACACTTGAAACGTTTCCACTTATTCATAAGTCACTATAGCCATCTAGCTTGTCCGCTTGCAGCCATCAAAAAAATTCATTAAAATTATAATATAAACCACAAGTCAAACAGCCAAATTTAATAATACCACCATCCATATGAATTGAGCTGGCAGAATAAACTGCAACTTTACACAAAAAATTCTGATTAAATATTCATCACTTAAGTAAATCATTTAAAACTAGAGAAACTTCTAAATAATGCATCTCCAGAACTGGGAAAACTATACAAAAAAGAACCAACCCAATTCATCTCAATCTTTCTCTCTGCAGTTAAAATGAACCGCTAGCCGTTGCAGCGAAGATTATAGTAGCGCTTCACTAGATATAAGATGTGCAAGTCAAATAAAAGAAACGACGGACAACCACATAGCATTGCGTATACGACCCTCCGACGATAACGTTGTTGCGACCAAGAGGTGTACTCATCGTCAACCCACGCCCTATTAAATAAAGAAAAAAAAGCTAACTATTTAGTCCTACATAGTCTTACCGCAAACCTGTTAAGTATCCGCTGTTAGCTCTTTGTTGGCCAAATCAAGTTGTTTTCATTATTCATTGAACTTACGCCATGCATGTGCTGGCCGCGATCGTTCGTTAAATCATAAAATTCATTGTAGTATAGGACCACAAAGGAGAAGTGTGCATAGGGGACACTGGAAACAAGTACACTTGTCGAACAGTCGCTAAACCAATTGCAATGACCCCCATGTCGGTTATTCCCTATTTCTGTACCCGAACTGCTACTGAGTATAATTTGTACTGTATTATTATTTTGACATCGATTTAGTAGTAGTGAACGCGTGCGTGGACAGTCAATCTACACCGGTTATAATTACAGTATAGGTATTTAGCGCTTCATAAATGAGTGTGGTTAGATATGCCACCTGTTGAATCGAGTGGAGCCCTGTTCAGGCCGAAGTACAATTGTTTATAGTTTACTCTGCTGTTGAGCGCAGCTTCGAATTAGCGAACTATCAAATGTTTCACAGCTGCAAACGTAACGAAATAGTTACCGATACCTTTGTTACGATAGCAGAAAAGCCAGCAGCACCGGCCCGAGTTTCTTCTATCCCTTTTTCGATTTCCAACAGCTACGGGCCTTACAGTTAGTGTTGGAACGCACCGTATGAAATCAATAGCATTTATTGCTTATTACGAATACAGCCGCTTAGGGTAGCGAACTTTTTAATTAAATACTGAACCTAATCATTGGAAAATTAACGCTATTTAGGTGCTATTAATCTAGTAGTTTATCTTGTGATTTTCGACTATTCTTAGGATGGTTACCATGGTAAAATTCTGCCCCAGCTGATATTTTCGATACTAACATTTGTGGTTTTTCGACAGATGTAAATGCAATATGGTGTAAAATATTTGCCCCTACAATAGAAATAGCACTAAAGCAATTGTAAATTAGGCTGAAAATACCCAGCAATCCCTTGGGCAACTTGTTGACCCCTTATAACCTACTTTATTTGACCGAAACATTTCATAAAGTTTTGCTTGGGCCATTAGACGGCAATGTGAATTTGATTGGTTCAACTTTCAAGTTTGTTTAATTTATTTCTGTCCCGGCCGACTGATGTACGGGAGCCAGGATTCTTGATTTTCCCAAGCCAGCGCTTGAGCTGGGTCTCAAACGCTTTCTTGGTACTATCCTTCTATCCGTTTTTATGCAGCCAGAAAAGTGTTTAAAGGTATTTTCAATCCTTAGTGCAATTAGTTTGATGTGAGGAGAAGTAATAGCGCTAAATTTTCACATACGGTCACTTTTTCCTAGCGGTTGCTCCGCTCATCAATAAATTACTTAAACCTTACCAGACAACATCCTATCTTGATGCACCGTCTAACCCTTCATTGCAAGCTGTTAGAACGTGATTTTATATTATCCTTGTGGTTTGTTTTTCCAGACCTGCTCCGCTTTTCGTCCATTGTCCTTTACGTCATCTTACACAGCAGTGTTCTATTCTTGTTACAGTCGTCGCCATACTCTAGACAGATTCTATCATCGCCGTTTTCGTTGCCTTTCTAGAACAAACGGTCAGTAGTGAACCACATCTGAGATGTCTTTTGCCTGATCGCTGGATTTCGGATTGAATCCGATCGGTTAAATGTCGCTCTTCTTCTTTGTGTGCCTTTGCTGCTTCCGCTGATGGCGCAAAAGGAGAGACTGAAGGGAGCGTGTTGGGCGGCGACGGAAAAACTGCTACCCCGAGTCCTTGCCTTATGTACTGTCAGCGGCGGTTTTCCGTACTCCTTCCATTATCCTAATCCCGCTTTAAGACGCTTGCTCCTTTGTTCCCGTGCGCTCGGAACATGTACCCGGGGTATACCCGGGCTTGGCACTTCTTCAAATCGGAAAAGCTTCTGTTATTAGAATAAAATATCATACAATAGGTTTCTAGTGAACTTGTTATTTTATTGACAATGGAGACGATTACGATCCTCAGTGACTCATGTCGCTAGCAGCATACTTTGCAACCAATATTTACCTTTCTCCATAAGGATGCCTGAGGATATATACGGATACTCCTTGTGCAGCCATCAAATATGTTCAAACAAATCAATAGCTTATTGGAATAAGTCACCAAGTAATATTTAACCTGGCTCAAGCTATTTATTATTTGCAAGCTGAAAATAATGCCGGTATTTTCTTCCTTATAAATAAAATAAATGCTACGAACTATTTAACTAACAATCTGTGAAACTAAGCATTGGCAGAATCTAGCCACCTATCGCCATTTTGATAAAAACCTGTGTAGTTGGCCATTGTAAACCGCAATCTAGTTTCTACATGTATTACGATAATAACTACACCAAGAACACGTTATTTTCCCAGTAGACGTGTGTCACAGTGTCTAATTCGCTATTTACACACTCAAATTTAAAACCCTTATTACTACGGATGATCTGGCCGGCTTGCTCTAATTTAACAGATATCCTATGAACGCTTGTCTGATTTTGGACACATTGTTGTTGATGGATATTCATGTAAACGAGCACTGAGCGTCTGTTTCGAAGAACGCTAAAAGTTTTGATATGTTTTTTTGTTGACTTCTAGAATTTGATATGGGGCGGTTTAAGTACGAAGTGTTGCCAGTTTTTGTCGCGTATAACGTAATGTTGATCTGGGTATGTTTACTGTTCTGAGAAGCTAGTCTATCACCTGGGTAGAATAGAAGGACAGCTGCGCTGGGAGGAGTAAGTCATTGAAGTTGTGTACTAAAGAAAATGGGATTATCCTAATTGGATAACTGGCAAGATGTTAGTTTGAGTGTTAAAATAATCAAGTTCATGAAGAGGCGATAAACGATGTATTATTTGCGCGAGTAAACTAAATTGGAACGTTCCAATCAATATACTAAGATGGAACAGGCAAACTCCGACTGTACAACCACTCAAAATGTGCTCCAGTTAAAATTTACGTTAAGTTTAATAAATAATAAAAGTACAGACAAGTAAAGTCAACGGCGAAAAATGGCGTGAGGTAGAATCATATCTGTTGTTCACTGTAAATGACGTACACAGAGTATTTGCTTTGGCGTATATTTTTATGGGTTGATAGAGGTTGATGTTATCGCTGGCTGCGCTTTTAATTACGGCAATTAACTATATGTTTGTTTCAGACTCTTTGTCAAGCTCAAACAGGTTAGATTTCTTGTGGACGGTTTGTTTGACGATCTTTGACAACTGTTGGTATTAGAAAATGATTTGTTTCTCAGGCTTTAAGATAGGCGCAAAATTCGAGCCAAGGAAACACATTGCGATTTATCGAAGGAGCTGATAGAAGTTTAACGGTCGAACTGCGCTTGAGCAAGGTTTAAGTTAAGTTAGATCTTACTACAAACTGGCGCTATTGAAAAGAAACATCGGGGTTAGTACAACCGGGTGACTCAACGTGAAATTGGACGTAACCAATCATATTAGATGAAACAGCATCATGGGACATGTATAGAGAAATTACAGATTCATTAGGATGATCGAAGAGATTTACTCAATTATTCTAACTGAATAGCTTAAACGGGTTAATGTTATTAAATAGAAACATTTCAAGCTACATAACATACAGTTCGTACTAGAAACATGAACTGAACTAAGCAGAATAAACTCGTTAACATTCATCCAAGCTAATAATTGCCTAGAAACAACAGTCTACATGTATTATAAGAAGTAAATGTTTCGAGTTTGATATTCGCTGAAATGAACGCAGCGAAGTGGGCTCGGGCAGAAATTTGTGGGTCAGTTTAGTAGGTCAATAAAACGTCTGCATGTATCAATTTATTTGTTCCCTTAAAATAACTGGTTTAGAGTAGTCGCTTTGAGCCGATCTTTTGCGGCCTGATTGAATATTTGATGAGGGCGTTGATTGATTTTTTCCTAAAAAGTAGTTTTTTTTCCTATTCTTATACTATTTTGAGGCTAGTACTACTTTAGGCGATTTGTTTAGCAACCGTTGAGCCCTTACTTGAACAGTTTAGTGAAGATATAGACAATTCATTGGTTGGGTTAATACAAAAACGTATATATATATATATATATGTTGAAAACTTTTTCGGGGTTTTCGATAATTTTCATTTCTCGGGGCTGATATCGGGATAAATGACCAAAAATAATGAGCAGCACACGATTCAATAAGTGGCCGTTAAAAAAAAGTTGTGTGTGAGAAGTCAGTATGGGCCTAATACATTATCTGTTCACCATATATGCATTCGTAGTTGACTGGTCGCAATACCCTTAGTCAAAACAGAACGTATGCACTAAATAAGAGGATGCACACTCAAACCTGACAGCTAACGTGTTCGTTGTACAGCTACTGAACCACAGACAACCTCCGCATCGATTATTGCCATTACCTAAGCACGGATCATCACTATTAGAAGTCAATATTTTACCTAAATATCGAACCTGTTAGGACAGGGAGGTCAGTGGATAATTAATTTATAGCAAATTTTATGCACGTACAGCCCTTATTAAATCAGTGCAGTCAGATATCATTGCGTAAGCCCATCTACTGAACTGCGTGAGCCGAAGCTATTGAGAATGACGGTGAAAAACATCGAAAGGGGCTACCTATGAAGTACACTATGTTTATATCTAAACTAAACAAATGCTATCTATGAGAACAGGCTGTTTTCTGATCCGCTCGGTGTAGTGCAGTAGCTTAAATCATTACGCAGCCCTGAGTGATTCGTTCGACCTTCTTTGCCTTGTTGCTTCAAACACATGCAGACCTTATCGCTAGTATAAAAACGCTATTTGTGTCGACGAGACTTTTACTATTATGAGCAGTATTTATTAGCTCTCCTTTCTAGACTGTCGTATATGATTACGTCAATCTACGCATTTTTATAATTTGCAAACATCTTTGAAATGGTAAAATTAAATGTGACCACGCGGCAACAACTTGGTTGAATTTAAATGGCATAGAATTTTATAAATGAGAAACACTGATGCTCTGGTTAACCCGTTCATGTCCCCGATGAAATTGGAATACTTTTTTGTTGGTAGTACAGTAGTTATCATTAAAACAAGGCTGATGCTAAATTAAGCTGATGACTTTGGCGATGCTTCTGAGAGACATGATTCCATCGGGGTCGGCTGACTGAAGCAATCACTTCGGTTGCCAAACACAAGAGACTAATCTTATTTTATTGACAATTAAGTGGATTACAATTCTGGGTAGCTCACTTATATAGAAGCGTATTTCAAAGCTATTGTCTGTTTATTTCCTCAGACATACTGACTGTAAAGACAGAGGTCGATTGTGTAGCCATCATAAAGTCAGTGTGTTAAAAAAATTTATTCGAAAACAACCTGCGTCAATAAAAAGAGATTTTTACTGAGGCCTAAACTAAGCATAAATTCTATAATAAAAAGAATTTTGAGGTGTTTCACTTTCAAATAAAACATTTCTTAATAGTCTAGACGCCTTGCTCCTAAATATCTTTCATTTTCTTCTCTGATCTTGTTTCCTGACAACAAACAATTCACAGCCGTACCACAGTGCGCCAAATAATCCCAATATTAGCCTTATTGGCGCTTCTATTGCCGAACCTGATGTAAAAATGTGTTTCTCTCAAAAAAAATGCCGCTGTTTTTGGGTCAGCCGAATTTTTCTGCAGGCTGATTTGAACTTCACCAGAATGTTGATTTCTGAAAATAGGTGTAATATCATTATTAGAAAATACAATATAAAGTTTTTTTCTATAGCTAGTATTATGAGTTGGAAGGAAAAGAGTTTTCGCGATGACTATCTCGATATCAATTAAGTAGAAAATTTTTTAACCGTTCTAATTTAAAAGTTCCTTAGCGTTTCAAGAATCTACTAAATTAACATAGCAAAAACTAAAATCGAATAGGTAAGATATACTATTTGCGATTCTAAATAATTACTCTGTGGATCAAGTGACTAGGAGGGAGACAGCTCTGAGTTACCTTTTACCTAGTTTACTCTTGCAAAGTTTATGAGGACGACGATATAAAAAAACATTTTTCTTGACTTAGCCTAATTTTGTCAACAAAATTCGTTGTTTCTATCAATAATTAAATTCTTTCACATATATAATAACCAATGTTTATTAGGTCCTGGGAATACTTTCCCATACGTTTTCTTAGTTATTTTCACATGACTTTTTACAACAAGTAAACCAAAAGAGTATGAATGGTTCTAACTTTACTTTTTTTAGAAGATTTGATGCAGCTTGTGAAAACCGATTCAGAGCATATTACGGGTAGGAAGACAGTGATATCCATTCTAGTAAGGTGTAACTACATGGTAAGTTGAATTTATAAACTCAAATCATTACCTAAGTCTCAACGGAGATCGGAAGGTTTTGAATTCGACATCTCACTTGTTCATCCGTTTTATTATTATAACTACTAATAATTTTCATCTTTATTAATATTAATACACACAATATGTAGACATTCCGTTTTATTTAAAAACTTTAATAATATACTTTATTAGTTCTCATTTTTCAAGTATCCTTTACCACCGCGGGTGTCTTTGTGATCATCAACGCCATAATACCTTTCACTTTTTTATTTATATAAACTTATAAATACTATTAATAAATTTGTTTCTTTGCATTTTTCACAGGGCTGGATTACCTTCCCTCGCTTCCGCCATAAAATCTTTTCTCTCCAACGACATGACTAATCCGTTAATTATCTACTGCTTGTCAACTTATGTTGACCACAGACACTTCCTAAAACAACACGTTCGTTACTTTCGCGTACGCTCACCTAAAAACATCATACTGTGCATGTTTCTCAAAAAAAAAGCTTTTCCGCGACACCATCTTGACGGCTATAATTTCGTTTAAATAAGAGGCGAATAATGTATCATATTAATTTGATAGATCAGTCAGTTCGTTTAATTCTAACCAGTTCATAAAGGTGCACTTTAAACACGTGACAGTTCCAGAATTCTCACAGTATTATCATATTTTTTGGCGCAGTACGAACATTTTGCTTTTGCATCGTTTTCTATAACGTCATGTGACTATGGAACTATTGACCTAACTGGAATCGTCAGAACAATGAACAATTCCTTCTCTTTCGATTAAAAGAACGTCATTTTCTTCCATTATAGTGCCGTTGACGATAACAATACAGAGCACGATTGAGAAATATTGCTAACAAACGTAACTGGCTATTTGCCTTTGTTGCAGACGACCCCATCTAAATCCTTCGCTGTCTCGCCATCCGTGCAGTGCAATAGGATGTTTTAATCGCATATGTATTTGCAAATATAACATGAATTCTACATGTTAGATAGAAGCATTAACTTTTGCGGTAAGGGCCTAATTTAATTTTAATGCCATTGTAACAAAAACGGAAAAAACAAAAACACGACCATTTGTTGCTACGGATCCTCAGCCGAACATTATTTGGGCGTTCTCGCTTAGTACATTGGGTTTCAGGTTTTAGGGCTCTTTGCTTTCCCTATGTAGATCCCATGGATAAAATTGTATGATCAGGCAACTATTCATTTTTCAGAGCAGCGACACACTGTAGTGCATTGACTTAGTGATTAATAATTGCTAGGTAATATTGCATTCCTTGGAAGAAAGTACAATTTTAATGACAAGCTTGCAATAGCTTGCTTAGCTGATGCTATTAAAGACAAAAAAAATGAATACCTAACTTTAGAGTCATCAGATCAAAATAGGAGTAGTAATAATAATGCTAGTATACATTCTGCCACATTGAGAAGATGAGAGGGTACAAACACGTACATCGGCTAAAGAGCATTCAGATCACGTGAAAGTTTACTACCTAAACAAAGGTTGCACCTTTTCGCATTGCACTGTATGCATGCAGGTTAATAGGCCATACATGCCAGTAGTGATAAAATGTCCTCAAAAACATTTGGAACAGTGATTTGCAGTTGACGGCGGTGGCTGTGCATTATCTAGTGCCCCGCGATGTATGGGTTTCTTAGAGCAAAGGCAAATTTTTTTGAGCCTATTTTTCTCGATAAAACAAATCATCTTTCGCACACATTGTACACGAAGATCTTCATCCAAGATTTATCTTGAGCACCGAGAATGGTATAAGTTTACAACGTTTCCGGGACGATTACCAAGGTGGGTGCAAGGGTTCCTTAGATTAATTCAACTTTGAAACATACCTGAGGCTTATCATTAACTATCAGAAAGTATAATGGAGGATAGATAAATGCAATGGACAATCGTTTCACATGCTATTTTACTACTGCTGCGGCCACAGGTTGACTTGTTCTCATAGACACCGCATCCAGCCACACATCGCTACCTTCTCATTGATACATTTCTCTTTACACATGCGTATCTTTGACTAATTGGCATATTCGCCCTTATTTTACGTTTATCAAACCATATCACCTATGGAGCTAAATCGCTTCTTGGTGGATGGTGCTGTTCATCCCTTTCTGTTCCAATGTCCAGTTCTGCCTAGCGCCTATTATAAAACTGGTAAATTTCACATTTACCACACATTATCGTGGCATATATTAAATAATGTTCTATACAGGACATCCATATACATTTTATGTATTTCAAACAGTTTTTTTTTTGCCATTCAATCAGTTCCATGTATAGTCATTCAGGCTCCTTTACAACATTCGTAAATCCATCTGTTATTGTTATTATTGATATTGTATGCAGTTTCTGTTATTGTGGTGGCATTTGCTAACGTATCGGAAACAGATTTACCATAAATTTAAGAAATCTTTTTCGGTTCATTCGTAGTTTCGGTAGTTTTTGCTAATCGTTCTTTTTCGTAATTCTGTCCATCGAATAGGACTTGATCGCATCTCTTGTCAACTAATAATGATGACTTATGTGTTCTTGACCGTGCATTTTCTCCCTGAGTCCTTCGGAGCGACCATTATCTCGGCTCAGTTATCTCATTTCGGGGAGTTGGGTCTGCTTCATAGGATCTTTGTGGGCGTCCATCAGACATTTGTGCTGGTTACATTCGCAAGACAAGTCGATAATCCAATTCTTAAAATCTGTACACGAAAGAACAACATTCATTTGGCCAAGTGAATCCCTAATCTAAGTGTAAGACATTTGTTGGTTTCTTAGTAGAATTTTTTTGCAGCGTCAGCTTTGCTATTTCGGTAGATCATGTAGCCAAGAATAAGCATAAGTTGCGTGCAAGTGAATGCGATGAACGTCATGGTGCCGACGCAAGCCGGCTGCGTACATCCGCCCAGGGGTTGCGCCCGGTTGAGCGTGGCTGCCAATATCGAAGCGATGTCACGTTTTACCACGTTGATTGAGTCGCGCATCTCACCTATAAAACGAGCCTCGATACCGGCACCGCTATTGCTTCCACCAGCGACATTAACCTGCCCAGCCTTTCGAGACACCTGAAAAAAGCCATTTACCCTCATTCGATATAATAAATAGAAAAAATATGTTGGTGTAGGTAGGAAATGATACAACTAGGCTTATAGCTTCTAAGTATATAACAGGTGATCATGACAGCCCTCTATACTACCTGTTAGCAAATTACCTATTAGATTCGCAAGCGATTTAACTATAAACAGCAGACGTATTTTATTTAGTTCGTTGTCGATTTACCTCAGCAATGGACGCTCGCATTGTATTGAGGGTGGCGACCATGTCCCTCTGTGTTGTAAGAATCGCATCGACCTCGTGTCGCTGAATCGGCAGACCGACTCCTATAAGAAACAAAGGAATCGCCGTGAATGTAACGAAACAACAAAACCTAACTTTGATTGCAAACCTAATGAGCATACCAAAAAAAAATATCATTGTGAGATTTATAACGACACTTAGTTGAAGCAACATATTATATAACTAGTGTGATCAATAAATCAAACCATATCGAAGTTAGGTCCGGTTTCAGCCTAATGTCTGCACCTGATTCTTTGTCACTCCGACAGATTGGTCGAAAGTAGCGGCTATTCAAAGGATTAGTGGGCCAAATCGCTGATATGAACGCGACACCATTGAGTTAAAAATAAGCTAATTGATCTTTTGCTTATAAAAAAAAAAGCAGCTACAGCTGGAGCGTATATACATGAACTGCTTTGGTATTGTACATGCAAATAAGGTTTTTTGTCCACACAGTCAATACTAGCTCAGCCGGAACTCGTTCTTTAAATACTCAGTAGGCGGGCATCTAAGTTTTGGGGGTATAGTTTGCTTTGCGGCTACTACTGTACATGCAAACCATTTTCCTATCGAGCTAAAATGTCCCGATCGTGTCAATTTAAACCGAACGCATCTCGAACTAAGACTCGAATTTTCAACTTACAACATAACTCGAAGAATTGAGGTTATTAGGATCACTAAAAGGCTTTTGACTTGGTCAAAAATGTATGCAGCATAAAGGTGCTTGACAAAGAGAGTGATTCAATTATCAAATTTGACACCGTCGTTGACGTGCAGTTATTCAGGAAGGAATACGAACTATACGACTGAAGCGAAATAAAGGTATGTTTCAACTCAGCATGAGTAACTGATGTTGAGCCTGCTGAAAAGCTTAGATGTTTAAATGGTTCCACAATCGACCAATTCTGCAAGAAGCCAAATTCTACTTAGGTTAAATTCTACTTAGGTTCTTTGAACAAAACCTTCACCACGGCGCCTGCCTACGGCTTAATTCTAGTTAACTGATATATATGATAAAATCCTACGGTCCAAAGTAAATACATTTTAGACTCCAGGCGACGCTATAGCATGCCGTCTGCGAGACAGCCTCATAGCCACGTGAACATATAAACGTGGCCGCAATGCCAGTCACAGGCCAGCCATAACACGATATATTAATATACCAGTTTGTCCTAGTTTCGACGTTTTCAATTAAACGACGAACTCATTTAAAGCAAATATGTGCGGCAGTGAAGAGTATTCCGACAAAGGTAATTTAGCCTAGACTGTTCCATGCCATAATGTTAGCTGAACAGCCATTTAATCCAATTCAACACATGATTTATTGACTGTCCGATACCATGACCAAGCAGCAGTGAAGGTTTAACATTAATTTGTGTCTAAATATATTATGGATAACAAATTGATCATTATGCAAATGAGAGCGGAAATTAAGCCTTTCTGTAATTCAGATAGCCAAATGTTTGTGAACGATGTAATTGCAAATGTTTTCAAGACCGATTGAAATTAGCAGTATTAATTAAACATAAGCATACGGGCAGTACTACCTGCATCCGACATCGGTTATTTCGTTCTGTAAGCAACTACTGAATCCAAGTTTGTAAGATTTGAGTCGTTCTATAACATCAATGGTGGACCACCTTACAGTATAAAGCATCAACTACAATGAAATAAAATACATTGATTTCAAATTTCTCTTGTATTAACGACCTAAATGTTGCTCTTCAGGATTTGATGTAGCACTAGATTCCAAGATGTGGACCGTCGTTACCTCTTTTTGATAGACGTATCAGTAATACTGATATTAGCGATACTGGTGGTCATTCACTCTGGTTCCGCGTTTAATAATACAAATCTATGTGAGTTTTTCGTCGGTTTTGGCCACAACAAACGTATTCCATATGGTTCCATATTGAATTAGAAATTATGTTACGACAATGCAGTGGCCTAACAGCTCATGTGCAGCAAAAATATTCTATGAACGAATAATCGTTGCAGAAAAATCTGCGACTTTAGAACCTAATATTTATGACGCAAGTCATCATGAAACTCACCTGGCTGAGTCTGCTGGTATTGCTGTTGTTGTGGGGCTCCTCCCGGATGGATGGCAACTCCAACATGTTGCCCTTGTTGGATCATGCTAACCATGCTGAGAGTGCGTTCTTGCCGACCAAGCAGCTCATCCAGTTTACGATGCAGCAACTTCATTCCCTCGTACATATGAGCCTGTCCCTCAAAAATTTGGCGCAACTCCTTGCTTTGTTGGCTCTCATAGGCCTGTTCAGGATCTCCATGTTGGTCGATCTGTGCCTGCTGTTCGGGATGAGCCTTGCGGAACTCCTCTTTTTGCTGTTCAAGTTTAGCTTTATACTGTTCGTACTCTTTTGTAAACTTCTCTTTCTCCGGATCAGCAATGTTCCCTTGCATCTGAGGTGCTTGCCCAGGGGCATACAATGATGTCGTCAAAAACTTTAGAACGTCGTGGTCGTCAGCGAGACCGCCGGTGGCTGCCGACACTCCGAAGTAGCCGTTAGCGGGAAGAAAAACGTTCTCGACCCGCAAACAAAGTTCGTAGTCCTCATCAGTGTTCGTGTTGCCCGAATGGAAAAATAGTTGAAGAACATTTTGGAAGTATTCGACCTTAGCTTTGACGGGAAAAGGTTTATTCCTAAAATCGCGTAGACAGCCGGCCAGCTGTTGCGAGATTCCATCCGACTCGTGATCGTACGTCTTTGTACCGTCGTTCAACATAGCCATAATGTAGGGATTATTATTACGATTGTCGTTATCGAACGAATCAAAGAATATGCCCAGGCCACCCCACTGGTCAGATGAACCGAACGTGTTTCCTTCAGTCATCTTCTGTGCGGTATACCATAGGGCTAGACCATCGGCGCCGAGTCTACCACGTCCGTTTACTCGGAACACCATTTCAATCTCCCACCACATAAAATTGATGGGATTCTTCGTCCAGATGGCACCTTTTTTGCTGCGCAACGATGGTGTGATTCGGACCATTTCTTCGGAGGCGATCGTGCTTCCCGAATACTCCCAGAATGGAACCGATCCATCTTTTTGCGACAAATAGGGTCCCTTGAACGAGTACTTATATTCGAATTTTCTGTGGGCAATTTCCGAGCTGACACCTGTTGGGCTCGTGGCCAACACAAGCAACGCGGTGGCCAGCAAAGCTACCGCTTTCACGGCGTGGTTCATTGCGCCGGTGAAATCTGTGATAATAGCAGATTACACCAGGTGCAAATTTATGAATATATGCTTAGTGAAGTGGTCTTTGTTATATTTAGTTTTGTATAACTTTCCTATTCGATCTCTGTATGATGTGCTACACTCTCGTTATTTCGGCTGTATTCACTGTTCACTTCCTGAATTTTTTATTGGCGCAATACAGGTGGGGTACCTGTCACCCCTCTCCAGTGCTTCTTCACTACAGTGCCGCTAACATTAACTTGGTGTATCTAGAACGGCCAGCTGAAAATCAGCAAAGGCCTGTCTTGTAGCACGATGTCGTCTGTGAAACGTGTCGTCACTGCTGCTGACAAACGTTTCACATGTATGCACCTTTCACCTTACAGCAACTGTTGCCTCACTTAGTCGCCTAAGAGCTGGCTTCCAAAGCGTACAATCGTTTTGTTTTGCCCAATCTCCCACCGTATTGTGCACATCCACTCCTCTCTTACAACTCTGACTACCTTGCCCTTTTGTTCTGTGATCTCACGTTGTACAGTATAATCACAGTTAACGAACGTCCTCACGTCTTTCCTGTTCTTTGTTATCCTATCTGTGTTTTCCTTCTCTATACGTTATCCTCCTGCTGGGCCCGCCGTTTCAACTCTCTCGGTTGTTGTTAAGTGCCACCTCATACATCACCGCTACTATCTTGACCACTATCTGACAGGACGTCGACGGCCAAGAAACTACCATAACTTTCTTCCTTTCCCCCTCTTTACTGAAGATTGCTACAAATTGCTTTTACTTTTAGCGCAACTACACCTATTAGTGTAGCGATGACTTCTAAACTCTGCACACGCTAGCTACGGCTGTAGCAGCACGTATCAACAAGAGTCCCGACAAACGAACATAGAACCGCAAAGCTACAAAACGCGAAGGCAATGGATAAGCCTGCCGCCTAGTTAACGGACAGACGACACGAACTTATGGGGGCGACACGTTCCACTAACAGTGGCCGTTATTGCGGCTTTGATGGGAGAGACAGCAGACGGGCAAACAGCGTTTGCGCCTCCTCCGATTTCGGGGAACTGCCACCGCGGTCAAAAGCGGCGGCCTGTATATGTTGTTTCTCTGTAGAGAGGCGGCAACTACAGTCGGACAGGACGTAACAGGACCGTGTCGAAAACCTGATGACTGACTAGACCGTGCAGCGCCGCCAGTAGCTGCAGCATAAAGGGCCAGTGTGCTGTTAAGCGGTCCAACGCTGAAGTGGTTGGTGCCAGCGTAGCTGAACGACCTAATTCAGCACTGCTGTCGTGGTCAATCTTGCTTATAATGATGTTACTGGATGGCGCAGGAGCAGAACGGCGCGTACAGCTGTTCTTTTTTCGGCTGCTGGTAAGATTACTTTTTTTCTTCTTCAGTTTCATAATCGAAGCGCTGGGCTGGGTGTTTCCAGACCATATTGTAAGTATATTCTGGTCGATTAGCTTACTGTTAGTTACCTTAGGAGCTTGAGAATGCTGGGTAATGGTACGAAACGTAGGGGAATGAGACCGTATTGAAATAGATAGGGTACAACGGCCAGCATCCAAGGAGAAATTGTGTCCCTGTCCGCCAGCGGAAAAATGGCGCGCATAATTTGAATATTCATCTATGCTGAATGTCGGGACGGCGAGCGCCTATCAATCAACTGGTATTCGTACATAGATTTAAGTCCAAGAGTCAAAATAAGGGCGCTTTTAACCAGAAAATTAGTTGCAAGCTAATAGGTTATGTCTAATGTGTTACATTTGTTTAGATATTTGTTAGAAGGCGATAACAACAAAGTGACGAGCTGATTTATTTCAGCAACCTACAGTTGACGTTGCCAAACCGTCAACAAGATTTTTCGCTTAAAGCTACAACTCTTCTTGTTCATGGGAATTATTATCATCAAATGGATCATCAAAAATCACACCCGTCATCAGCTGAATTAGCCATCCAACGCTGGTTGAGGTAAAGGCTGTAAGAAGGTGGTTTCAGCGCCCGCCCAAAACAAACAAAAACATCATTATTGTGTACTTCGCTGTAGCAGACGACGTCAACCGAGGTTACACGTAGTGTTCGCAGCGGGTGCGGGATAGACGCTTCCTACCTACGGTATGTTGTTATGTTGTGTGGTGTTTGGCGGTGCTTCAGCGACTGTACGACGACTGCTACGTACGAGAAGAGAAAATGAACTACAGCGAATCGTAGCTTCGCCTCGATCAACTAAGGTGGGTTGGGCGGTTTCACGTTGCCGTTTCCAGCTCGTGACAATTGTGTGCTCTTTCCAGTGACGTCGTTAGACAAATGGTTATTGATCCAGGGCAAGGCTTCGACTAGCTTGGCGCTATTTGGCGCCAATCTCTCTCCAGGATTACCGTTCCCTCTATGTTATCTTTGGATGCTGTGTATTTCTAAACTAAAGAGTAGTCACTGTAACGGCCAGGACGAAACTCATTACCTGTTCCGCCTAGTGGACAACACGGCCGTTGGCGCGTTTTGCTACGGCTAGTTAGGCTTACGTGTTATGGAATTGGATCAGTGTGCCGTGGTTGATCTGGCAGCTATAGTTAATCCGGGAAATCCACTGCCACAAAGCAACTGGCGGACGACTGGTTGTGCTCATGGCTCAGCTACCACCTGAGTCATGCGGTGGGATAGGTGCAATTTCCGCGCCATAAACGTGTACGGGTTTCAAGTTTGACTCGGATGTGCGCAAATTAGGGGGAATGAACTCTCAATTGGGAGCTGACGACGTTGTCGATGAACGACATCAATTTGACAACCATATAATTTTGAATTAAAGAGGTTGAGTGAGTACGTTGAATAAACGGCATAGCGTGAGCCGCTGCGCTTGTGCGTATCTGTGTGTAGCTCAATTTCAACAAGACGCAGTTTGAGTGGAAAGTGAAATGTTGTATGCCTATTGAGTGCACGCACATAATTGCAAAACCTCAAATATACCCTTAATTACGACTATGCTGTAATCGTAATTCGAGGTTAAAAATAAATTTGTCAATGATTAATTTATACGAGCGTGAACCAAAGTCAGTGCTAAAATAAAAAGATTTTCAATGCGAACACGCCGCTGCCGCCTAAGAAAGAAAAGCAAACGAACGTCAATTTCTACAAGACAATTGTGTTGTTAACAGTCGAACCAATAATACAGCGTTTATACCTGATGGTACAGGTATTTTACACGGAATGAACATAATATGCGATCGACTGGATCGGATAATTAACAACTTCTGGGCTCCGTTAGTATCATCAATTTTTTTTTATTGAAACGTGAGGACTAAACTAGCACGAGTATGATAGAAAATATAATAACAAATAAGCTGACCAGGTTTATCACATGTCCATTGTTTAACAACAGATCTTCCAACTGAAATTGTTTATAACGGCTTTAAGATGTTTGCGTGGCTAACTCCCTAATGTATATGTAGAATGTACAGTCCATAACTTTACTCTGACATTTAATTTACGCAGAGGTGACTCCACCGCAGAAATGGTTGGAGCGAGCAAACGGCGGCCTTCGACAACCGTTGTGGGAGCCGGATGTGCTACCCGTGAGGGGGATCTGTCATCTTTGCCACCACTTATCCGCGAAAAAGTAATGAAAGACAAACGCAAACCGGCCGAGGTTAGTATCACTCAGAAGTGAGCCATTAATGAGTTCAGCTTAATCAGAAGATGTGCTTCCCGTACGTGTACGTTTAAAATAGCAAGGGTAACCCCTAATATGCGACTAACATGTTATGGAATCAATTTTTTCTTGTATATATTTCTTACAGTATACAAGGTACATACTACAGCAAAACGTATCCGTTTTCTGGAATATCTTCTTCGATAAATCGGTTAATGCTTATCCACTAAGAACTATTTTGATTTTAATAAAAAATGAGTCGAGCATTAATTTATGTTGTCGTTCGATGATCTGATACTTCTTTATTTGCGGATTGCAGCTGATTCGCACAGACTTAATTACGGCGATGAAGATTCCGGATACAGAACACCTTGATCCCGAGTGTTATTGGCTTATAGTTGATCCTTGGAAGACAGACTACGATAAGGGCGTTCAGGTAACGAATTCGATAACTGACACTCAACGAACATTCAAAATTATAAATAGGGCCACAAAAGTTTATCGAACGCAATGGTCTACGGATATGGAATGAAATCTGCAAAAATGCTGAGCCTGAGACTCAGCTCAGATTACAATGTACAAGATTGGGCTTTCTGGAGGCAGCTAAAACGTGTGCCAAAAAGCATAAGTTCGCAAAAAACCGAATAGACGAACCGTGTCTTTTCCTATTTTTTCAGGTTCCCGTAAATCTTGAAGGTGCACCCGATATAGTAGTGAAACAACGCAAGGACACTACAGCCCGGGACGCCATCCTTGGCCCATTTTTCATGTCAGTTACACACACACGCACCTATACATATATATCATCATCATCATCGCCATCATCATCATCATCATCATCATCACCAGCATCATCGTCATCAGCATCACCATCATCATCATCATCATGATCATCATCATCATCATCATCATCATCATCATCATCATCAATAGCGTACGAAGGAATATAAAAATACCGAATTTATTCTTACGGTTGTTACTTTTTATTGTTTTTGTTGTGGTTGTGGTTGTTGTTGTTGTCGTCGTCGTCGTCGTCGTTGTTGGTGTTGCCGTTGCGACGTTGTGTCACGCGTCGTGTCAACGTAATGTTATATTATTTTGTGTTATCAAGTGTTTGCCTCCTTGCGCACGTTTCAGTTATTGTTTATCCGTTGTATGTAAACGAACATACACTACGTCCTTCTTAATCTTATAAAAAATAACATTACTAAGACAATAACTGTGTAGAAAGAGTTCTCTCGTCGCAAGAATAACGTACCAGTCGTTGTTTCTGATGCTATTTGTTGCTGTTGTTGTTGTTGTTGTTGTTTCTGCTGTTGACGTCATTAATAGTGTTGCTATTATTATCTTAAATGTGCTTTTCAGTATACGGACTTCGGTAGAGTGGCACCGTCTATGGCTGCTGCATCCAGCAACCGTTGTGGTTTTTGTTGCGTTAATGGCGTCGGCATAAAATCGTCACAGCGTGAGACATAAGTGTGTTATCTATGATTAGGTTGCAACAAAGCGGACACAGGACAATTCGAGCGAGGCTTGATATATATATATATATATATATATATATATATATCAAATACAAGTTACTGTAATAAAATCACCCATCGAGACAAACTTTAGGCGTAGTACTTTCTTTCGTATGCTCTTTCTCCTCTTAATGACAGGCTACACTACCGCACAAGCTATGAGCCTACGCGCTAAATGTAGTAGGCCTATAGGTAACTCTCTGGTCCGCATGACTGGATAACAGATGACGCCACTGCCTGAATCGTTTTTGTTCGTAATATAATGGCACAAATGAGCAAAAATCGATCGGCAATATTAATGATAAGAGCTGGCTTTGACGCTGCTAGTCGGTAGAGGCGGCTAAAAAGAGAAATCTGTTTTAGATTTTGATAGATTTCAGACGATTTTACAAACATGTAAAATTTTTTCTAAAATAAAACGACTCAAGTTTTAGCCGTTTGATATCTTGACATTACCACCTGCTGTTATGCTGGTTTGCGTGCCCGGGTCAGTCCACAGAAATGCAAGGGTCATCGGCAATCGATATCGCAGTAAGACATTTCATTACCTAATCTAATGCCATTCTACCTCGTTGAATGAATAGATTTGCCGACGAAGATGCACATTGGTAGGGCATTGTTCTTGTCCTTGCCTTTAGTCAACTCGAACTGTACGTGTTAATAAATAGAAGGGTCAAATGCCGATTGTATAGGCAAACGACCGATTGTAAAAAACGTGCAACAAGTATAACTTGAAAGTTACTCGTACCCGTAGCAAAACTTCCAGCAGCTTATCAACCAACTCAGAAATTATTGCAGACGCAAACATACGATTAAATTTGCCAAAAACATCTTTTTAGGTTAGACGCCGTGTCGCGCGGGTAAATTAGTATCAAGCCCCCATCGACCGTCTCTGGAATGTGGGTTGATGCATGTTGGACAGCTTTTCTCAGCGAAAACGTGTATAAACGCTTCTACGTTGAAAAGAAAGTTTCGCAAAAATCTCGACTGTTTAGTGGCTTGGGGGTGCCATAGCTTAGAGCCGCTCGAGGGGTGGGGCGGGGGGGGGGGGGGGGACTCCCGCTTATAGTCAAGATTATGCATATAAATATGATCATGTACCACTATATTGCTTGCTCGACTGCGGATCCGTTTCTTCTATTATTGATCAACAATGAATCTATGTGATACCGGAAGAATGGGTTTGAACTTCGACGCCTGTTGTCCACATCAGCTGTAGCAAAAACTTACACAAAAACAAAATACATTAACGTCTTCGTTAGCATCAAACAGGATTATAGACATAGAGAAAAACTGTTTGAACTCTCAGTGAAGTGTTTGTGGTCCGAAGATATTGTAGGAAACAGAGAAAATCTCGGCACCTCAATACAAAAAGATATACAAACACGTTACATACACGTGGCGAACTCGATTATTGATAACTTGCTGTATTGTTGTTGATGTCATAATAATTATTATTGTGACGCAGCCTTTTTCATTCAGTTGAACATGTCATAACTCTGGACGAGAGCAATAAAATAATCATTGTGATAATTCAACAGGGCAAAATGGTACTGTAATATCATTACATGATGATATCTCAAATAGAAGGCTTCAGGTCTAAGTAACAGTCTAGAAGTGACGCAACCGTTAAAACGGCTAAACGTCATCAGTCCAAAACAGGAACAAATGTGCAACTCTCCATGGTTATTATTGCAGTTCCTATTTTGCCTAGCCGGCCTTGCTTCATGTTAATTCGATAGATCAGAAAGTTAACTAAGCCTGTGCTATTGAGATATAAATTCGACAGTTGTGTCCTGATTTTGCCTTTTCCAACGGACAGCTTTGTGGATTCGATGCATTTGCTTATGAGGGGAGTGGGGCGGGGGCGTAGGGCAATGTAAAAGACCGCGTGCGAGGTTAGCCTTGAAAAAGTGGCGCATGCAAAGCGAGTTGGACGAGCTGAAATAGGTGTGTTGAGGAGCTGCCGACTGATTCTGATCAGACCGACGCGACTACTCCCTGCGCGTCTCTATCGTTTTTTGTGTGTAATCAAAAAAATCTATTCTATTTTTAAGTAATAGTATCTTTGTCGAACAAAATTGTAAGTTGGGATATACAAGGAAACGTATGTCGATAGGCTGACCACAATTATTGCGTACTGTAATTATATTGTAATAAAATAATTCTGTTAGCACTACTGATATTAATAATAGCTACGATTGTTGCGTGCCTAATATTCAATTATCTCATAGAATAGATAATTCGCTTAGAAAATAAGTATTTCTTATTACGTCTATAATTACTGTTATGTGTCATGATCTAGTTTACTTTTCGCTCGCACCTGCGGGCCGTGATAGCATTGTGTCGTGATGCAGTAAAACTTCCATCGATTATCGCCTCCTGATAATGTGTCATCAGATATCAAGAAGGCGGATCTAGCTCTCAGTACGTTATCGTTTCTCGACTATGACAATTGTCGACGAGACTTCAATGTTCCACCTTTTGCGTCAACTTTGCTTGCTTAGAGGAGTCACAGTCGCAACGTGATTGAAGGACTTATTAATATGGCCATTTGAAACACGCCGCTAAATCCAGTTGAACATCATTATATCAACGGAATATGTGTAGTAATAATCATTGCACAAATTATCGGTAGTCGTCATTCCATATTATATCCTACTACGACACGGTTGTGAAATGATAAGAATCCCGGTAAGTTCCAGACAAAATCAGATTGAAAATATCGCCGAAAATTGGCCGTGTATAGTTGTGTCGTTGTGTCGTCTGTTAGAGATTCTAGTGCATAGACTCGTCACGGATTGCCCTTGAGATGGCAATCCGTTATTTGTTGTATTTCCTCGTCACGATTACCAGCATTTGCTGTATTTGTTGTCTACTGCGAGCCTTCTTTTCGAACTTTGTCTATTTCTTTCTGCGGTGCACCGATCCTCTTCAGTCTTTTTTTTTATCCTTGAACTTGCCCTCTGTTCGACAGATACAAATGGCTCATTGCAAGTGAAGTTACCGGAAGCTTAATAAAAAAAAATGCCGATACGCTCACCTAAAACACATGTCGACGTTTCGCCGTTTACTCGTAGTTAGTCTTCATTGCTGTCTATGTAGATTAGTATAATATGTTAATAAAAATTTAATCAAACCTCATTGTAGCGGTATTATAATAATAATAATAGTAATTATTATTATATACTGTTGGTATTATCGTTAGTTAGTATCATTTACTTTTTTTTTTAATATATATAAACATGTAACTGTGTGTGAATGCGACTGAGTCTGTATGTAAATAGTAACTTGTTTTTTTTATTATCCACCTCGAACACATAGATGGGGCCGTTTGTCAATATCTATAGGCATGAATATTAGTCCGTACAAGATTAGGCTACGCATTATGTTATACGCAGGGCGGATTGTAGGTGATTTTTCTGTGTCCATCAGTGTTTGTCTATTGTTATTTATCGACTTTTCCTCAGTTATCACCTTAATAACTTATATAATAATATCAAATAATATTAGTGAATATTATTGTTACCGTTATAGCAGTGGATCTGCGGCAACGTTCTCTTTTTTTTTTTTAATAATAGATCCGTATCGTGTCTCCGTCGTAGCTTATTATTTATACTATATTTTGTCATCACGAATAGTATTATTACTAAGGATTATTTTTAACGTCATGGTTCGGTAGCATTCAGTTCATGGGATGGGTTCCCTTCCGTATTTCATCGTCTTGCGTCTTTCATTGTTTGTCGCTTAAATAGTATTAGGTTAGTAGGTGTTACGGTAGCAGTGGTAAAATGGTGTCTTACAGCAATATATATTACATATGATGACATTTGTTTGACGCTGCATGACTGTATTTGATGTTGTTATGAACATATTCTTATTAATATTTAATTAAAATTCTCGCCTTATTAATGTTATTTATTATTATTATTATTATCATTGTTGCCGTAAATTCATTGTCCATTTGCCTTTGGACAATTTAGGGCAATCCACGACGGTAAAAAGTCTTCTTTTCACTCTCTCCATTTTTTGCTTTATAAAGACAAATCGAACAATGATCGACTGGGCACTCTTCTCTCTTGGGTGGGGCCACGTTATCTGCATCACCATTTATGCTTGGACCATTCTCTCTCCATCTCGTCCATTTCAGCGGCCCTACGAAGGCTGTTCATCTGCATCCGCATCTATCTTTTTGTAGCCTACGTTCACACTCTTGTGGCGCTCTTTAGCGAATTTCTCGGAAACCTAATTTCTGTTGCGTTCGGGCCCGTTTTTCCTTTTGAGCCCCCACCCAAAACTTCACTCAACTAATACTATGCTAAACTTTTTTCATCCAGCCATCTTTATCTCTTTGCCCTGTCACAGACGACAACAAGTGACCACCGGCCGTTTTTTACTTATCTCATCGAACTTCTCGTTCGTCGTCGTAGTCACAGTCAATCTTTCCTAGTGTTTTCCTGCTCTTGCAGCCACGCCTCGTATGCGTTTTGTCTTCTCTGCCGCTCGAATAATAATCTAGAAAAATTTCTAGCTACTATAACAGATCACATGGACTCGCCGGCTGGCTAAACCTAGCCGCCTTCCTATTCACCCCCACCGTCGTGGCATTGCGCTCGCGTGACGCTCGTCGTTCCGTTCAACCCTTTCTTGTAGTTCTAACCGTCGCGGTTCCTTTTTTGCCATTGATTTAATCTGCGACTATAGGTAGCTTCTTCCCCTTTGTTCAAATTCCTTCGTGGACTTGTTACGGTAACGTCACCTATCATGTCAGAATGTCATTCAGACGTCGGATCGAGAACTTGCGCCTATTTCCACAACAGTGGCCTGACGCTGCTAGCCTTTCTCTTCGTTAGCAGGCGCTCGACTTGCACCTCTTTAATCGCGCATGGATCTTGTTGTGATCTGAACGGCACGATGCACCAGTACTAAGAATCTATTGTTCACACGATGTGGTATTGCTGTCTCATTTTACTCCTCATTATTACGCCGTTCGCCCGCTGTACGCGATCTGCTATCTGTACGTCAATCAGTGTCACTCACGTTCAGTCACCCCAAGAGTACCGATGTCCTTTTCGTCTCTATTGAGTGCGATTCCTTTACCCCATTGACTTACGCCAATGCGGTTCTACGACATTTCCAAACGTCTCCCTCCTGATTGGTAACAACGTCCACGTGAATCGTGGAAAGTCAGCGACGGCGGCAGCA